GACTAAATGGTCCCTGGGGTTGCTCTTGTTGTTGTTACAAAGGCTGAATGGTCATCTGTTTTTTTTGGAGGGGTGTGTGTTTTGATTGTGTTATTCCTGCATGGCAGAAGGGGTTGGACTGGATGGCCCCTGGGATCTTCGACAGAAATACTGTTAAGTTTATGTTGTTTAAAATTGTTCTTCATTTTGAATATTGTATTGTTCTTTCTTCTTCCTTTCCTTTCCTTTTTTGCACTGTGTGAATTACTTTGTTTATTTATTCATTTATGTATTTATTTACTATATTTATACCCTGCCCTTCTCACCCTGAAGGGGGCTCAGAGTGGCTTACGAATTGGCAACAATTTAATGCTGTATAAACAAACATGTAAAAACAATAAACACATACATTAAACCAAACAGGTTAAGAAAAAAACATCTATATACTAAAAATGAATTATTAAAAATCACACAAATGCAAACTTCATAGTCCAGGTTATATGTCGAGGTCATAGTCCATAGTTACTTCACACAAACACTCTCCATACATCTGCCACTGGCCTGACTCATCCCTGATATATGTATATACATTATATATACTATAATATACAATATAATATAATGTATAAAATTTATTTGGGCTTAACAAGAAACTATTGCTTCAAAATGGGCTCTGTGGCTGAAAAAGTTTGAGAATCCCTGTTCTAGAGTTTGAAGGAAACAATTGGTCTTAGAGCAATAAGCAATAAGGGGTATTGTAAGTTTTATAGGCTATTTTAAGTGGATTTTTTTTAAAAAATGTATTGTGCTTTTTAAACAATGACCAAAGTGTGGGATTGTTTGCCGTCTTGAGTCCCCATGGGGAGAAAGGTGGGGTATAAATAAAGTAAATACTGTATTTTGAAGGCTTGTGGGTGTTGTGTGGTTTCTGAGCTGTATGGCCACTTTCTAGCAGCATTTTCTCCTGATGTTTTGCCTGCATCTGTGTCTGGCATCTTCAGATCCAGCCACAGATGATGATGTTGATGATGTTGATGATGACGATGATTCCCTAAACCAGAACAGAAAATCTGCTAGGAGACAGAAGTACGGCTGTGGGACGACGGGTCAGTGAGTTGGTGCCAAGAAGGTGTGATGGCAAGGGCAATCATCCCAGCATGTTGCCGCTACCCATAATCATGAGACCACTGTGGAAAACATCTTTGTCCAATAATGTGATGAGTGGCCTTGATCAAATGATCTCAAGATAGTGGCTCTCAGTCCTTTCTACTTTGGGGTTCAGCATTCAGGATGGGAAAACCACATTTGCAATATAGTGAGATAGTTTAGCTGAAAATGCAAGGTATGGTCACAATGCAAATAAGCTATTTATAAATACCACTTCCTGATTTATAGTTACAAGAAACTGAAATTCTGTTTTGGAGTTCGTGACCAGGTCTTTGAGATGGTCAGCTAAAACTCTGCTGTAACAACTCAAGAGGCTTAGTTGATATGTAAATGAGACATTTTTGCTCTTTGTATGACCTTGCTCATAGAATTCTCTCCCAAGTGAAATCAAGTTGGTTCCATCCTTGACACGCTGATGTTGGGTGACCAAAACTCTAACTCTAATCTGTCCTTTTGTTTTTAAAACTAACTTTGGGAGTCATGGTAGAGATAAAAAAATACTCAATCACAATAGCCACTCTTTTACATTAACCCCTTGTTAAGTATATTCAACTAAGCATAATGCTGGCAGAATTGCATAATTGCATAATTCTCCCAATGCATCTGTCATCTGGTTAAGTAGACTTGTGTGTGTTTGGGTGGGAAGGAGTTACAATCATGGCAACAGTGTCACATTTATGACTGCCCCCGGTGGTGCAGTGGGTTAAATCCCTGAAGACCGACAGGTCGCAGGTTCGAATCCAGGGAGAGGCGGATGAGCTCCCTCTACTAGCTCCAGCTCCTCATGCAGGGACATGAAAGAAGCCTCCCACAAGGATGATAAAAACATCAATTCATCCAGGCGTCCCCTGGGCAATGTCCTTGCAGATGGCCAATTCTCTCATACCAGAAGTGGCTTGCAGTTTCTCAAGTCGCTCCTGACACGACAAAAAAAAGTGGTTGTGAATATGGAATGATGAATCAAAATGGCAAACCAACATAAAAGACCAGGAGAAGATGCAGAAGGTTGCTATTGTGTGACTCTATTGGAAAGAGTAAAACCTTATCTCATCTTCTTTACCTGCCCGACCATCAAAATAATAAGAAAAGAAAAACATGGTTATTGAAATAAATTTCTTTGTATGAAAGAAATTATACAAAATTCATCAGAGCAAAATGAACTTTGCAGACTGTCATACTTCCTTAACAAAGCACACAATTTAGACATAAAAAGGCAGCCCTTTCCTTCATTATTGATGAGTTTGTTGCTGCTGAGTTCTTGCATCATGGTGGCTCTCCTCTGGGTAGCTGTGCTGGTACGGCTGTACCAGGAGCTTCAGCTTCATTTTCTTTCTATTGAGAGTTTGCATATATTCCAAGGTTCCATGCATTTTGCAGTAAGGTGGCTTCCCTTGGTTTGCAATTATAGGGCCAATGACCTGTCTATCATTGTTAAGTTTTGGTTCCGCCCCTTTTTCCAGGGCTCTGGGAGGGAAAGGGAACAATTTTTAGTTCAGTCTTATAGTGGAAAGCTTAGCTACAGGACGTGGATCAGCTCCATCTGTAGACAAGCTTCGTTTCTCACAGCATCCGGGGGAAACAGCTCCACATCTTTTGTGGAAAAGATCCAAAAGAACTCCAGCTGGAGAATCTACAAAGCCTTGGCTGGTAGGTCTACTCGGGTAACCAGAAGCAATTGGAGCCAGGAGTAGAGCCCACACCAGCAAGCATAGAAAGTAGATTGCCTGGGAGGGGTTAAAAAGGGTTTTCCTTTTAAAGAAAAGAAACAGTTCATGAAGCCAGTTACCTGTCCATTTGGGCAAGTTAAGAAGCATTTGTTTGACTTGTTGAAGATCTGAGAAGTGTTTGTTTAAATTGTTGAAGATCTAAGCAATAATAAAGGACTTTGTTAAACGTTTCAAGCATCTAAAGACTTTTGTATAGGAAAATCCTTAGGGCCTCTCAGCCAAGGCAACCCGGCTTCCCACTGGGTACAAAGAGCATGTCCTGTTCAAAAGACAATTATTATAGGCCCAGCGCGTGACAGCATAGTAACATTGTTGGTTCTCAGAAGAGAGCTAAAACAGGCAAAGCTACAGATGTCTGGAGAAGAGTTGTGTTGACATTGGGGATGCAACTAGGTCATGGCTTTCTTGATACAACCCCACTTGCTTACCTCTTTCCCACGCTGCCACTTCTGTTTTTCTAAATAACAGAAATAAATGGTGAACAAAACAATGGTAAAAAAACCATTGAGTTGTGAACTGGAGATTAGGAAGTGGGTTTTCCTCTAGTTGCATAATGTGAGTTTCTCCTTTTTGATTAAAAAGTTCTGTAGTTGTAGAGCCTTCTTTCAGTCCTAAATACTGATCTGGAGAGTAAGGTGTGCTGAGGACAACCGTTTCAAGATAAGCAGATCAACACCATCAAGTGAGTGGGGATATGGGTGAGTGTGAGCAGGAGTATTTGAAAGCCAACCCACGTTGATTTTGTTCTCAATTATAGGAGGTGCATTGAGACAGAAACATGGGAGTTGCTGAGGAAAATTATTTAGACACTCTACAATCTATTAGAACTCTAAATTCTGGATTTTTCTATCTCAAAGCATCAGATAGTCATCATCTGGACAGAATGGATTCACTCCATCTTTCAGAGTGAGGCCCTCAAACCAGTCCAAAGGCTGTCCTTGCATGTATCTATCTTTACATTTCTTTTTAAAATTAATTTTTGTTCAAACATACAACAATGTGCCAGCAAGAAATTAAATTGGTTAGAAAGTGCTCCATCACATTAGTATGAAAAACTTAAGATATTTTCCTGCAATGAATAAAAAACTAAAGAGAAAATGTATTTGCTTAGTTAAAAAGAGCAAAATGCTACCAATTTGTTCAATACTTTATCATAGGCTAAGATCAGATCAATGGGTTTTCTCTGTGATGGCACGTATGGGGAGAGGAGAGTTATATGCAACTGGACAGGAAAGGGTTATACATTCTCTCCCATAGTCATAGCAAGAATCAACATGGGTCTAAGAATTGAATTGGTGGATATAATTGCTAACCATCCAAAAATCAAAACAAAAAATTACACAGTCTCAAATCAGGAAACATATTCTAAACACTCAAATCACGGTTAGCTATCGTCAACAAGACATCAGGTGGCCTAAAAATGTGCAGTCAGTTGCCATTTTGATATATTCTTTACTTTCTCTGCAATACTCTCCCTTTCCCTTATATGCCTCTGCTAGTATTTTGAGGAGAGCTTTCTCTCTTTTTCAGCCAGGATTTGATAACTCTTTCATTCTTTATTTGGAGACAAACATTCAAATAATATATTGTAAGTGAAACCGAACCATGTCCCTGCCAAATCTCTGTCCAGAATATGCAGTGGTGACTGTGATCCTATTCCACCTCCAAATCCTGGGCAAAACTGCTCTATGATTTTGGACAGAGAGAAAGAAACTATCAGTGATAAAGGTGTTCAAAATGTAAGGCATATGAGGTTTTCCTGGTTATACCATTCCCTGAAAAGGGGCATTATGCTTTCTGCTTCAGTGCTTACGTTTCCTTCCTCATTCTTTCCATTTCATAGGATCCTTAAGATAGCAGTAGAGTTAGAAAGAGATTAAAGTTCCATCCAGAAGAGAACATAAAAGAAGAAAGGAAAAGAGAGGAGATGTGCTACCTTCTTGAGCTCTTGGTTCTCGGGCTTCTTTCGACTGACCTCTTTTGGGAGGGTAAGAACTGGGAGCAGATTGAAAGGAGGAGCAATCCATTCTCTGGATCATCCCACCTTTTCCAGTAAGGGAGAGGTGTGAGTCTTGTGTTCTCCGTCTGTATGGTTAAACTTCTTATCTTCTCTTTCCAGGTGCGCAGTGTGACACACGACTATATAAGCTTTATGTCCAACCTGCAACAGTCCAAGAGGGACTCTGTGTCTTCATCCCCTGCAACTTCACTTATAACCCAGATCATGCCAGGAATACTTCCAAATTGTATGGATACTGGTACAAGGGAGGATGTCCGCCTTCTCCTCCTTTAGTGGCCAGCAACGATCCAAAGAAAACTATAGCAGAAAATGCTCGGAATCGCTTTATTCTTTCAGATGAAGTGGGACAAGGCAGCTGTTCTCTTGTCATCAATGATGCCCAAAATAATGATGGAGGGAAGTACTGCTTTAGAATGGAGAAAAGACCTGGAGCCATTTTTAATTTCCCAGATGAACTGGAAGTGACTGTAAAAGGTGAGTGGTAATAAGGACATGTGGAAGCTTCAAATGAAATGCACAAATATATCCTTTGCTGCTAAATAGGATCTCCTCCACATACACTGTTCTAAAAATGTGGCGTGCTATGAACACAGGCACAAACAAAAGTTCAACAAGAAGCAACAAGCAACAATGGGTGGGACCTGTCAAATTCACAATTTATGGTCTGGGCAAGCAGGAGTTATGAACTCTGGCACTACTTTTCAGCTGTCCATACACTCCTAATATCCCCTCACTGGTTCTCCAAGCTGTCTTCTGCTTAAGGCATAACGAACATGATCTACTGCCACATACCATTCCATGAAATGTAATGTATACTCTTTATGCCGCAAACACAGCCACAGACAGGAATGTAAGAGCGAGAAATGGGAGCATTTGGCGAGGGGGTCTGTTGATTCTAGAGCAAGTTGGATCATTTGGCTTCTGAAGCAGACTGCCTTTGAAAACCATGGATACTCTTGGGTCATCTCAATAGGGTCAATCTGAGATTCGCTCAAACCAACACTTGACAATGCTTTCATTCTCTTTAAGTGCCTGTATTATTTATATCACCATGCAAATACATTTCAAGAAGTGATGAGGTGAACGTCTGATTATTATTATTATTATTATTATTATTATTATTATTATTTATTTCTTCCCCACCTCTCCTCATGGCTTGAGGGAAGTAACAGCACAGTTAAAACACACAAACATTGCAAAAATTCTATAAACACACATTTTAAAAGGTAGTTCTATAATATATATATTAAAACGTATTTCTATAAAATACATACTAAATACACAGAATAGAGATTAAAACACTGGACACAAATTGTTTTAAATTCTTAAAACTGTCTGGTAGGCCTGTCAAAAGAGATGTGTTTTTAGATGGGTTTTAAATTTAATTTTTAAGTATAGAGTTAATTGTGTGATGACTTTAGTTTACATTTATCAAAAGTAAGAATTTAGGAGCAACTTATATCGAGAGAGAAAATTGCTCAGTGAGGATGGCCAGTTTGAGGAGATGTGTGGAAACTTTGAGATTCTTACAAGAGGCAAGCTTGTAAAACATGTTGACCTGGGAGAAAAGAGAAACTGTTTGAAATACTATAGGACTCTTGGAGCTGGAGAGGAGGTCCCTCCTGCACACCCTCCTTAGAGAACCTTGACCGCAGGCTGGATGAAGATACTCCCAGCTTCCCATGAGCATCTAAATACCCAGAATCACAACAGTATTACAAATAGAATAAATTGCATCCAGCTATCCATGTTGGGGCTTATGTTTCTTTCCAACCCTAACTGGAGCTGGGTGGGGAGGAAAGTCTCTGTAGAAAGTCAGATTACAATTCCTCAGTAACTCCCACAAATTCACTAAAGACATTGATGTTCCACTGGGCTTTTGACTAGACAATTCCCAGATAACTAGACCCAGTTAGGACCTAAAATCTTGTCCTTGCACTTTATTGTTGTTCTGTATCCAAAACTATCATGCTCCAGGTTACATTGCCCCTACTCCTACTGTTGCCATTTGACTTCACACTTTATCTATTAGCCATATCCTCACTAGCCCACTGTTTACCTGTACCCAGAAATGATTATGGCAGGGTTCTTGGTTCTTGGTTCAATGGTTGCTTTCATAGTCTGTTAATGTTGTTGTTTATGTATTTTATATTTTGCATTGTAATGTCTTATATATTTTTTTAATTGTTGATTGGGCTTGTCCCCATGTAAGCTGCCCCAAGTCCCTCCAGAGAGATGAAGGCAAGGTACAAAAATAAAATTATTATTATTATTAGCAGAAGATAGAATTTGTGGGGGAGGGGGACCACTCCTCTCAAGAACCGATGTGACTAGGGTCCTTTTACCCTAGTTTGTGTATCATCCCTTCCCACAACCTGCAGAGTCTATTAATGTGTCCACAGAGTTATTAAAAATATTCCTCCTGCTACTTTTGCATCTCTCATCTGTGCCCATTTTTCTTGCCCCACTTTTTAATAAAAACAAGACACTTCTGCACAATGGTGCCCAGGATGTATGTCGATGTACAATGCATGTTCGTGTCATCAGGGGCGACTCGTCCATTACGCAAAGTAAGCAGTCACAGAACACTTTTTTTTGCCAGGGACACAGAGGTGCCTCTGTAAATGCCCCTTGACTGCCACTTGAGGAGCTCCCCCTCAGCTCACAACAGCCCTAGCAGTCCAGGGGGAGCCTCGGCTTTCTTGCCTCGCTGCCGGGCGATCCTCTTCCCAAAGGGGCCGGGCCCTTGAGCCTCGCCTAGCCCCTCTCGTTCCTGCTCCACCCGGCCACCGGGTGCGCGAGCAGAGCCAGTGCTCAATCGTTCTCCACGTTCGATCCCTTCCCCATGACCGGCTCCCTTTCCTGATCCCCCGGCGCTCCACCCGCCTCCTCTCCTCTCCCCAATCCGCAGGTGGGCCAAGGGGCGGAGCCGCCGCATCTGGCCCACTTCGGGTCCGGAGGCGTGTCTAAAGACCCCAGTGTGCGCACCAAAAGTCGCCTCTTCTCCTGACTTTCTCTTCAGCCATTGGGACCAAGAGAGAGAGAGAGAGAGAGAGAGAGCCCCTTCGGCTGGAGGTATCTCCCACCTCCGCTCCCTCCTTTGTTTTTGCGCCTACCTTCAGGAAAGGTGGGCATCTCCACCTCTCTCTCTCTCTCTCTCTCTTGGTCCCAATGGCTGAGGAGAAAGTCAGGAGAAGAGGTAACTTTTGGTGCACACGCCGGGGTCTTCAGGCACGCCTCCGGACCCAAAGCGGGCCAGGCAAGGGAGCAAGTGCGGCAAGTGTATTTACTGGGATGTATAGTTCACCTACAATCAAAGAGCATTCTGAACTCCACCAATGATGGAATTGAACCAAATATGGCACACAGAACTCCCACGTGAAACAGAAAATATATATCAATGATTGGTTGGGGGGGGGGGGCTCCAAAATACTGTTTGCTTACCATTGAAAATTACCTAGGGCCACCTCTGCGTGTCATGTTCTTGTCATAACAAAAACAGCAAAGGGATCTTGAAGTAAAGCATTTCTGCTGACTTTTATTTTTACATAGAATAGCTTCCAAGTTGCAATCCAGTGACTTCCTGTTTTAACTTTGCTGATTCCTTATCTCCTAGAACATCAAGAAAAAAAAACCTAAATGCATTATATTATTCTGGAGCAGAAATAAGTACCTAAATGTTCTACTCTTTTGAGACGAACCACAACTAATGGGAGGGTATGAATGGCTAGTGGGGTTACTATATACTGATAAAAAAAACACCTTTTCTCCTTGGGTTGCTGTAAGTTTTTCGGGCTGTATGGCCATGTTCCAGAAGCATTCTCTCCTGATGTTTCACCTGCATCTATGGCAGGCATCTTCAGAGGTTGTGAGGTCTACTGGAAACTAGGAAAATGGGGGGTTGTTGAATGCTTTCATGGCCAGAATCACTGGGTTGTTGTAAGTTTTTTGAGCTGTATGGCCATGTTCCAGAAGCATTATCTCCTGATGTTTCTCTCCTCCTTTCATCCTTCTTTAGAACGGCAAAAGCCAGTGTTAGAATATTCTGGGAATCTGCAGGAGAACCATCATATAAACATCACTTGTACAGCCCCAGGAAGTTGTTCCTTGAAATCCCCACACATTGTCTGCAAAGTGGTGCCCAGAAATTTCACACTGAATACCTCTAAATTGCAGTCAAATGGCACCCATGTTTACTCTACGTTGAGCTTTATACCTTCAGCAGCAGATGACCAGCAGGATCTCACCTGCACAGTCACCTATGGAGCAGGAAGCAACTCTATCTCCATGGAGGCATCCATTCCTCTGAATGTCAGATGTGAGTGACCCTTGCTTTTCATATCCTACATCTCAGCAGGAGCAATCTAAGGATTTATTTTTCATCAGCATTATTTCATCAGCATTAATGTTCACATCTGGTCTGACTGTAAATGAAATGATTTATTTCAAGGAAATGCTCCATTCTTTGTAAAGTAGCATATACTGTCAAACAACACAGTGCATGTATGGGAGAGATTAGGTTTAGTTCCCTAATTCTATTATTTTTATTTTGTTCCCTGTTTCTATTTGATCTGATATTGATTAACGTGTGTGTGTGTGTATTTGTATGTCTAAAATATTTTGTTTAAAACAGTTATCTATATCCAAGTTTGATATTTTGTAGTTGTAAGTAATCTACATCATGGAGCCCCCGGTGGCGCAGTGGGTTAAACCCCTGTGCCAGCAGGACTAAAAGACCGACAGGTCGCAGGTTCGAATCCGGGGAGAGGCGTATGAGCTCCCTCTATCAGCTCCAGCTCCTCATGCGGGGACATGAGAGAAGCCTCCCACAAGGATGATAAAACATCAAATCATCCAGGCGTCCCCTGGGCAACGTCCTTGCAGACGGCCAATTCTCTCACACCAGAAGCGACTTGCTCCTGACAACCAAAAAAAACCTACATCATACAATTTTGTAAATAATTATCTTCTTTATTTAGTTCTTCTCTTTCCTTTTCTGTAATTCTTTGTATATTTGCTTGCTCTAAATACTTCATAATTTTTTATTTCTTAATTTGGTCTCTCTGATATAATCTTTTGTAATATTTTTCGAATTGGTTCATTATCTCTGTCTCTTGTGTATATATCTTGTCATCTTCTTTCATTTTTGTTATATATTTTGTTTCTCTTTTGTCCCTTAATTTTTTTGCCAGTCACCTGCCAGGTTTATTTGTGTTTTGGAAATAACCTACTTTGACAAATTTTAACTGATTAGCCCTTTCTTCCATCTCGAAATATTCTCTCTTTTTTGTAAAATTGCCAAGTTATTTCTTATCTTTTGGCTTTCTGGGTCTCTTTAATTTTTCCTCTTCCTTCATTATTTCTTCCATTACTTCATTCATTGCCTTCGTTTTTTCGTAAATAATTATCTTTAATCCCATTGATGGCCCTTGGATCACTTTGTGTGTGTGCGCGCGCATGTTTGTGTATGTGAAATAGCTGTGGGTAATATTACTCACACTAGTTCCTATGTATGCTTGTGTGTTAAATATGACTTACACTGTGTTGCCCAAGACAGAAAACCCAAGAAGAAACCTTTGCAAAGCACTTCTGTTTTGTTGTGGAATAAAAAGACAAATCTGTGGATTTTCATGTTCCTAATCAGGCATGCTTTAGTGTTACTAAACCTTGGGCAAAGCTTTGGCTGCCACAAATTCAAATATGAACCATGTTTGTAGTTCAGGCCCACCTCTGTCTATGTCTTCAAGATGAGGAAACAGCAGATTTTGCACCAAAACATTGTGTCTCTTCATGATGGGATTGCTGCAAACCAACGCAATATTAATACGTAGTTCTGATATTCTGAAACATTTTGCCAAAGAGCAGTACTGTTGTTGAAAAATGCAGTTAGACCTGACACTCTCATGAGGAACTGCATGAATAGTTGGAGGAATCATGTTGAAACATCCTTCCTTAATGCCTTTCTTGGCTCTCTAGAGCCGATTTCTGGAGGAAACAGAAAGTTAGACAAAGTCCTCTTATTGATCTTCTAATCCAGAAGAGCAATTAGAAGATCACATACATCACATAGAAAAAGATCACATTTAGCAGTTCCAAACAGAAGTCTGTGTCCAAACCTGTGTAGGACCTTCCAACATTTTATAGGCAAACTACTGTGTTTTACTCAATACAACTACACTTAAACTGGCTATCTAAAAGACTAAACTCTAGCCAACAAATGTTTCAGTGCCTTGGAGAGCTCCTTTAAAATCCTGAAACCAGTTTTTCTCACTGAAACCTCCTCTGTATGTGGCCATGATAATTATATGTGAGTGAGTGAATGAATGAGTGAGAGTGCGAGACAGGAGGGGAGGGGGGAGGAATAGAGAGAAGTTTATTTATTTTATTTACATTTATATGCCACCCTTCTCACCCCGAAGGGGACTCAGAGCGGCTTACAATATATATTTTCATACAATATATTATATTATTAGGATAGTACAATATCAGTATTATATATTACTATATTGCACTAAACCATTATATTGTAATATTATTAGTAATATTACATGTAATGTAAATATGTAATTATAATTATAATATTTTATTATTATTACTAGTATTATATTGTATTGCATTATAATATTAGAAATTAATAATTAGTTCTTCCAATCTCCACCGGATCTTCACAAAGGGAGATTGTTCTTGTCTTACAGACCTACCACAAATTGTACACATCACCAGTGAAATTATGGAATCAAACAAAAGTAAGTTTCCTTTCCTTTTGTGGATCCGAGCATCCTTGCAAACTGTTTAAAGAAAGATGGGTTTTAAAACTTTAAATTCTTGAGGGAGATTGCGATGGATATTAGGGCTGTGCACATATCAGTTTTGAAAAATGGGCTCCGGCTAGTTCGGTTCTTTTGGCCAGTTGGAATGGCACAGGTGCCACCACCATTTTTAATCAGCTGCAGCAGACCACATGGCTGATGAAAACTGTAGCCTTCAGTTTCTTTCGACTACAAGTGCTGAGAGGGAGGGAGATTTCCCTGTGAGGCTGTGAGCCCTGCTGCCTGCCTTAGAAAGTCACTCAAGTTCTTATTGAGACCATTCCTTCTGTTGGGGGAGAGAGAAATATGTGTCTTTCATGACTAATCCCATTCTCCTAAACTGTTTTCTGCTGTACTAAGGCTAGTGAAATTGACATCTAAATATGGGTTGGTAAAGGGAATGTCAGGTAGCTTGTTATTCCTAATTTGTTGTTTGTTGCTAACTGATATCAACTCAACTTCAACTTTGAGTGTTCCCATAAATGAGAGATCTCCATTTACTCCAGTGATATGACTTGCTTGCTTGAGACGGAGCACGAGAGCTGATGGCCAGTGATCTTGGAAGACATTCATTCAGAGTGAACCTATGAATGTGAGATCTCCAAGATCTCCAAGATTCATCAATTATCCTGCTCATGTCTTGCAAATTCAGGACTGTGGTCATCTTGATGTGTCCAAAGTACAGTAGTCTCTCATGAAGCATCTTGGCATCCAAAGTCTGATTTGCTCTAGGACGTATTAATTTAACCTTTTAGTGACCCATGTTATTTGTAGATCTCTCTTCCAATATTGTATTTGAAATGACATAATTTTCTTCCTGTCAACTTTCTTTGCTGACAGGCTTTCATATACACACAGAAATCTGAAATATAAAGAGATGGATATTTTGATTGGCATTTCATGATACACCTTTAGAATCGAAAGTCTTATCTTGTTCTTCAGAGCTATAGAAAATCAGGCAGCTAAAAGAAGCCAAATATATTGAGCCGTTCTTGATGATAGTATCCAGAAAAGAGAGCATATTAGAATCATAGAATCATAGAGTTGGAAGAGACCTCATGGGTCATCCAGTCCAACCCCCTGCCAAGAAGCAGGAAAATTGTATTCAAAGCACCCCTGAAAGATGGCCATCCAGTTTGTTTGGGAAAATCTAATCCTGGTTTCCTCTCTACATCTCTATCCATTTGAAATCTTGCAGATTTGATAAACTTCGCAGATGCCACTGATGCCACTCAGATTGTGGCACTGCACTGCAAGGCGAAGGGAAACCCTTCACCCAGTGTGGCATGGGTGGATGAATCACAATCCTTGGGAATAGTTTATCTCATAACAGACAGTGAATTGAAGTTTCCCAGTGCAGAGATACAACATGCAGGCACATACAAGTGTCAAGCAAAGAACAGCGAAGGCGTTATTGAGAAAACCTTCCGGTTTGCCATAACAGGTAAGGAAAACACAGTTGGCACAGTTTATAAATTTGATCAAACAAACCTGGACTCTCATTAAAATAGTATTGGGTTGTGTGTGGGGGAAGGGGGTTGTACCATATAGGCAAAAAGGCGCAGTGGGAATTGTCCTAGAACAATGGCTCCTTGCATGAGTTCCTTGGAAGCTGAGGCTTGTTCAAGGTGGGTTTCCATGTCCTTGGTCCAACCCTAAACCACAAGTGTTCCTTGGTTTGTTTTAAAGTATAAAACATAAAAGAAGGGACATAGAAAAAAATTAATTAATAAAACACCAACACCCAATTTTCATTCCCTTTTCCACCTGAATGTTTAGATCCTACCAACTTTGGAAGGATGTGACATCCTTTAATTTATTTGGATCCTATGTCTGCCAATAGATGAATTTCTGTCGTTCTTTAATGTTCTAAACACATTCCCCATCTGCATATAGCTCTTGTTTACTCACTGTGTGCCATTGTCTATTTCTATCCATAAATCATGCCCCTTGTATCAGGCAGTCTGGCCTCGGATCAAACTGGGTCTCTGATTCCTCTATGTAGACTAGTGGTTCTCAACCTGTGGATCTCCAGATGTTTTGGCCTACAACTCCCAGGAATTCCAGCCAGGTAACAGCTGTTAAGATTTCTGGGAGTTGAAGGTGAAATCATCTAGGGATCCACAGGTTGAGAACCACTGATGTAAACCATGATGTAAACTGATGTAAACCACCCACTATCCCAGTCCTCTGTCATCCCAGGCCCAGATCTTTGGTATAGTCCTTTAATAGGCCCTGGAAATAAGTGGCCCAAGCCCCCAGTATGGCCATTTTTGGGACCGGTCCTTGCACTTTACCATTCCACCGTCCCCGTGTTTTACTCTGTGCTAGCCTTGGCCCAGTCCTCTCAATAACCTAGGCTCTTTTCAAAATTCTGGTCCCTGGTAGATTACCTTGTACGGAGGAATAGCGTGGATTTCATTTTAATTTATATGTTGTGTTAATAATTTCATGCTTATGTTTATGTTCACTCTGTATGTTTTATATGTTTTTTTGCCTATGTGGAAACTGCCCTGAGTCTCCTAGGGGAGATAGAGCAGTATATAAATAAAGTATTATTATTATTATTATTATTATTATTATTATTATTATTATTCTCAATAGATGGGACCATGTCCAGTCCTTCTGAGAAGGCAACATAGCTTTCGACTAATCTCAACTTTATTAGTTCAGATTCCCCCGCTCCCCCCAAACAAACCTTTGGTGTTGTTTTTAAGGATATTATGGCATAAAATTAATTTTTAAGGTTCAACAATATTTTGGTTAAATTGTTTCAGAGGTCCAAGGTGAACCTACAGAATCAGGATATTTCAGCTCAATGGTTCCATTACTGCTAATCCTCTGCCTAAACAAGTAAGTGCGTCCTTTAGTTTCACTATCTGCCCTCTAAGGCAGCCTGGCGAAAAACCAGGAGAAATATGGGAGAAATTAGCATTGGCTCATTGTTTTTGTTTTCAAACATGACCATCTCTTTCCAGAGTGCTGCTGTGTTTCTTCTTCTTTGTGTCCATGATTTCGTTTTCCACTCAAAGGAAAGCTCAAGCAATGAAAAGATTAACAAGAGACATTAAGAAGGCGTAAGCTGCTGTGGCTCCTGAAAAAGAAGAAACAAAGAGCAACAATGACAGGACAACCAGGTTTTGAGGGATTTCTATTATCCAGTCCCCAAACTGCTCTATTACTGGGCAACAGGTGGACTTGACTTGGTTATGACAAATATTGCAATTCTCTCAGTTTGTTTGTATTTTAAATAAAAGCATTTGGTAGAATTGCATTTATCAGAGAAAAGTACTTTCAGGAAAAGAAATTAGTAGGGAAATGTGTGTGGAAAAAATGCGGAACATGGCATAAAGTCAACAGTGCTCTTTTGTCGGGTTTGGGAAAACTATGAATAATAACAATGCAACACATTTTTTCTTTTTATTTGAGGGAACACAACCTAGCACAACAGGTTTACCACCAGCTGTAGTAAATCTTGCCAACCAAAAAGTTGGCAGACCGAATCAGGGTGAGCTCCTGGCCATATCCCAGCTTCTGCCTACCTAGCAATTTCAAAAATAGCAATGTGAGTAGATAAATAGATGCCACTTAAGCAGGGAGGTATTTAAGGCATCCATAAGGAAATGCCAGATTTGATCAAGGAGGAAGTTACGAAGAAAACTCTTTGGCAAAAGAGCTGCAAGATCAAGAATGAGCCACATTCATAAAGACAAAGATCCACCCAGAGGAGAAGTGTTCTTAGCATACCTCAAGGGAACCACTGTCCACATAGGGAAGCTGATGAAGAAACACAACCTCCAAAGGTCAGGGTGACCTTTTGCTGCATTTTATTGAGTTTTATTTAATTGATTGGGAGTTTTTTGTATATTTTATGTTTTATGTTAATTCATATTGTTATTGTTTTATAAATGTTTATGTATTTTACTATATTTTGTAATGTCTTGCAGCACAATTATGTGCTTTTGTGAGTCTTTTTTGGGAAATGGTGGCAGGATATAAATAAAGTATTATTATTATTATTATTATTATTATTATTATTATTATTGTGCCATCACACCCAGACACTATAAAAATAAAACTAAGATGTGCTTCTCTCTAGATCTGGGCAAACTGCGGWTGTCTTTCTTAGAAGCTTGAGATTCTCAGCAACTGAGGCTACTACAGGCTTTGAACATCAAAACRGAATATTTATTTCTCAAAGTYCTTGCAGACTTGGCATGGYTTGTYAAAGTTACAAACAAAACAGTMAATTGATGAAACYATAGAGATGTTCTTTCTTTCCTTTTTCCTCTATTCKCTGAGTTGCCTTTCTCCAAATGGTAGAAAAAATCCTGAGATCCCTTTACCCTAACCCTGAGCTACTATCTTTTAGAAGGYGCAGGCCTTCCCCTATTCCAGCCCAAGGTTAGTTTTGGAGATGAAGCAAATAGTGCTCAATAACTATCTATCTGTAACTCAATTGCCTATCTATCTATATCTCAATTAGCTTCTATAAYTCAATTACTATCTCACTTTCTSAATCGTACTTACAATGGTTTTTCCAGAGCTATCTGGCTGGCCAAAYAGCACATCTGAGGCTTTTTTCTATACTGAAGGAGGCAGGGGAGATTCCAAAATGGAGATCTCAACCCCAGGMAAAAGGGSGGTCTCTAAACCCAAAGAKATACTTTCTAAACCAAWAAATGSAAAGGGCCTGCAGGCTGGCTTTCCAGCCTCTGAAACTGTTAACTTTCAGGGTGCAGSTGARATTGGAGCAACCCYGGGGAAATGCAAAGGAATGTTATCCCATGCAACTAAAAGRCAATGCAAACCAAGCTCCTGGAAGACGGAACAATTATTATGCTGAGTATTGTGATCCAACAACACAGGGAGGGTTGTACAATGAGCCCCATAGATGTTTGTGCCCTTTTCTTCTTTTATTTTCTGTTCTGAAATGGACTAATACTACATCATTGGAAATCTGTAAAGAGGGCAAGAAAAGGAAGATCACCTAATAGAAGAGAGCAAGATATAGGGGCAAAAGATGATTTCAGGCAAATTTGGGTTGCCACGAAAGGCCAGCAAATGATGAGTTAATTCATTCTTTATGACATTTCATAGATGTAAATTGGGGCTCAAGCAACATCAGAGGTAGTTAAGATGGTGAACATTACTTATGAAAAGAACACAAAAGATAGGAGAGGCCGAGTCTCTCCTCTGCTGAGCTCACTGACTGCAAACTCTGTTTGCATTTTGAACTTAGTTTTCAGCAATGAAAGTAAGCTGAGGATAACAGGAGAGAGTGGAAATAAGTCGGACATTTTAAAAAGCTGCTGAAAAGTAGGATAGCACAGAACTAATTATTTTAGATAGGGCTGAGCTTTAGCACAGCAGGTTAACCACCAGCTGCAGTAAGTCTTGCCAATCAAAAGGTTGACAGTTCAAAGCCCTGGTTAGGGTGAGCTCCTAGCCCAGCATCTGCCTGCCTAGCAGTTTGAAAGCAAATGTGAATAGATAAATAGATACCGCTTTAAAGTAGGGAGGTATTAAAGGCACCTATAAGGAAATGCCAGAAAAATGCTGGCAATTCAATCAAGGAGAAAGTTTACGAACAAAGCTCTTCAGCAGGGAAAGTGGAGCCCCCTTTTCTTTTCCCTTCCATTTTCTCCAGCATCATTATCTTCTCCAAGCTTTCATGTCTTCTCATTATGTGGCCAAAGTACTTCATTTTTCCTGTAATGTCCTTCCCTCCAGTGAGCAGTCAAGCATTGTTTCCTGGAGTATGGACTGGTTTGATCTTCTTGTAGTCCAAGGAAGTCTCAGATTTTGCTCCAACACCACTGTTCAAAAAGTCTATCTTCCTTCGCTCAGCCTTCCTATTTATTTATTTATTTATTTGTATACCGCCTTTCTCAGCCCATAGGCGACTCAAGGTGGTTAACAGGACAAAATTCAATCCTTACAATGTCATAAATACAATTAAAAGCATAACAAAAAACATAAACAAATCAATAAAATATAAATTCATAGTGTCTCCTCGTAAAAAACGTCTGGACTCATTGTCTAGTCGCTCCATTTTTCTATGTTGGTTACTCTGCATTTGCGAATGCTTGTTCAAAAAGCCATGGCTTGACTTTTTCCCAGAATGTTAAAAGGGAGGTGGCTGATCTAATATCTATAGGGAGGGCATTCCACAGCCAAGGGGCCACCACCGAGAAGGCTCTGTCTCTCATTTCCACTAAACGTACTTGTGACGAAGGCAGTAACGAGAGCAGGGCATCCCCAGATGATCTTAAAGAGCTTAAAGATAGGTCATAAGGGGAGATGAGTTCGGACATGTAAGTTGGGCCAGAACCGTTTAGCCAGCACTTTGAATTGTGCCCGGTAGCAGACGCAGCCAGTGGAGCTGCGCAACAGAGGAGTCCAGCTCTTGCATCCATAGGTTACTATGAGGAATACCATTGATTTCATTATATGGATATTCATTGCCAATGCATGTCTCCACTCTTCACTAGTTTATTGAGATTGGTCATTGCTCTCCTCCCAAGAAATAAATGTCTTCTGATTTCCTGGCTGCAGTCTGCGTCTGCAGTAATCTTCACTCCTAAAAATACAAAGTCTGTCACTGCCTCCATGTTTTCTCCCTCTGTTTGACAGTTATCAATCAGTCTGGTTGCCATAATCTTAGGGTTTTTTATGTTTAACTGCAACCCAGCTTTCGCATTTTCTTCTTTCACCTTGGTTAGCTCCTCCTCACTTTTAGCCATCAAAGTGGTGTGATCTGCATATCTAAGGTTGTTAATTTTTCTTCCAGCAATTTTAACTCCAGCCTTGGATTCATCAAGCCCTGCACGTATTTCTAGAGTTGTGAAACTGAGATTAGGAAGTGATTTTTTCTCTGGTTGCATAATGTGAGTTTCTCCTTTTTGATTAAAATGTGCTGTAGTTGTAGAGCCTTTTTTCAGTCCTAAATACGGATCTGGAGAGTAAGGTGTGCTGAGGACAACCGTTTCAAGATAAGCAGATCAACACCATCAAGTGAGTGGGGATATGGGTGAGAGTGAGCAGGAGTACTGGACAACCAGCCTACCTTGATATTGTTCTCAATTATAGGAGGTGCATTGTAGTAGAAACATGGGAGTTGATACAGAAAATTATTTAAACACTCTGCAATCTATTAGAACTCTAAATTCTGGATTTTTCTATCTCAAAGCATTAGATATCATCTGGACAGAATGGATTCACTCCATCTTTCAGAGTGAGGCCCTCAAACCAGTCCAAAGGCTGCCCTTGCATGTTTCTATCTTTGCATCTTTTAAAAATTAGTTTGTATTCAAACAACAACAATGTGCCAACAAGAAATTAAAGTGGTTAGAAAGTGGTCCATGAAAATCTTAAGGCATTTTCCTGCAATGGATAAGAGACCAAAGAGAAACTGTATTTGCTTAGTTAGAAAGAACAACATGCTACCAATTTGTTCAAGACTTTTTTCATAGGTTATGAGCAGATCAATGGGAACAGCATATGTGAGGAGAGGAGAGTTATATGCAACTGGACAGCAAAGGGTTATACATTCTCTTCCATAGTTGTAGCAAGAATCAACATGGGTCTAAGAATTGAATTGGGGATATAATTGCTAATCATCCAAAAATCAAAACTGATTACCCAGTCTCAAATGAGGAATCATATTCTAAACACCGAAATCACGATTAGTTATCGTCAGCAAGACATCAGGTGGCCTAAAAACGTTGGGTTAGTTGCGACTCAAGGCAGCATAAATTGTATTCATAAAAATACAATTAAAACGTTCAACTAAATATTTTAAAAGCATATATAAACCATTTAAAAACATATAATTGCCGATATGCTGTTAAAATCATTATCCAGCAGCATCGTCCAGCCGTTCCATGTTCATTCTTCCTATTTCATAATTACCTATTCCACTGCACTTCCAAACGCTTATTCAAAAAGCCAATTTTTTATTCTTTTTTGGAAGATCAGGAGGGAGGGGGGCCATCTATTATCCCTAGGGGCGGCGTTCCACAACTGAAGGGTCACCACTGAGAAGGCCCTGCCTCTCATTCCCATCAGACACACTTGCAAGGAAAGTTATTGTGTTATTGGTTGTATTTTATCTGATGTTATTATTTGTAGTGTGTATTTTATTTTGCTTTATTGTAATTGTTGGGCTTGACCTCATGTTAGCCACTCCGTGTCCCCTTGGCAGGGTATAAATAAAGTTTAATAATAATTTTAAATAATTTAAAAAATTCAAATAATATAAGTGAAACTGGGTTGTTGTAGGTTTTCCGGGCTATATGGCCATGTTCTAGAGGCATGTTCTCCTGATGTTTCACCTGCATCTATGGCAAGCATCCTCAGAGGTAGTGAGAATATAAGTGAAACCCAACAGTGTCCCTGCCAAATCTCTGTCAAGAATATGCAGTGGAGACTGTGATCCTATTCCATCTCCAAATCCTGGGCAAAACTGGTCTACGCTTTTGTACAGAGAGAGAGAAACTGTCAGGGATAGAGATGTTCAAAATGTATGAGATTTTCACCATTCCCTGAAAAGGGACATCATTCTTTCTGCTTCAATGCTTACTTTTTCTTCCCCATTCTTTCAATTTCATAGGATCCTTAAGCTAGCAGTAAAGTTAGAAAGAGATTGAAGTTTCATCCAGAAGAGAACATAAAAGAAGAAAAGAAAAGAGAGGAGATGTGCTACCTCCTTGAGGTCTTAGTTGTTGGGCTTCTTTCAACTGACCTCTTTTGGGATGGTAAGAATTTTATTTATTTATTTATTTATTTATTTAAAACGTTTGTATCCCAATCTTCTCTACCTCCGTAGAGGGACTCAGACCGGCTAACAGCAAGCATTCAATGCTCACAAACAAACCTTTAAAACATCATATATAAACAAAAATTTAAAAATACATATCAGATTAAAAGCGTAATAAAACATTCGCCAGGATAAAAACAACGTCCAACTCAGTCCGCACATTGTGGTCAATACCTTAGTCAATTACTGGTCTCAGCCTCACTCTGCAAATGCCTTGTTCCACATCCAAGACTTCACTTGCTTCCTAAAGGTCAGGAGGGAGGGCTAATTTCATTCAGGAGAGAGTTCCATAGCCAGGGAGCCACCACAGAAAAGACCCTGTCTCTCGTCCCCACCAAATATGACTGTGAAGGTGGCGGGACCGAGAGCAGKGCCTCTCCRGAAGATTTTTTTTWAAGAAATTTTATTAAATTTTTATATAGAATACAACGAAAGAGTGAGAACAATAAGGTATAGAAAAGTGAAGGAAAAAAAGAGAAAGGGAAAGGCCAGTAAAGTAAAAAGTAAAAAGGACATCCTAAATAAACCCTAAAAAAATATTTTTTAAAATATATATATAAAYTACAAAAATACATACACACACACACACACACACAYACACACAAARGGTGACTTCCATTCCATCTTCTTGGATAAAATATTCTTATTATTCAAAAATATATATAATTTTTTTTATTAAAGATAATAAACTTGTCTCTCTTGTTTTTTATTTTTGCAAATTGTCCAGATAGTCATGAAGATTATCCCAATTYGTTCTTTTTATTATAATGCCTGTAYTTTTCTTCAACAAAAAAGATCTCCGGAAGATCTTAATGCCCTYATGGTTCRTAGGGGAGAATACGTTCGGACAGTTAAACTGGGCCAGAACCATAAAGGTTTTTGTAGGTTAAAACCAGCACCTTGAATTGTGCTAAGAAGCTAATTGGCAGCCAGTGGAGCTGGTGCAACAAGGGAGGATAAAGAAGGAGGAATCCACTCTCTGGATCATCCTACCTTTTCCAGTTAGGGAAAGGTGTGAGTCTGGAGTTCTTTGCCTGCATGGTTGAGCTTCTTGTTCTCTCTTTCCAGGTGTGTGGTGTGACATAAATCTATTAAATCTTTATGTCCAACCTGTGACAGTCCAAGAGGGACTCTGTGTCTTCATCCCCTGCAACTTCACTTATGACCCAGCTGATGCTGACATTAATTCCAAATTGTATGGATACTGGTCCAAGGGAGGATGTCCGCCTTCTCCTTTAGTGGCCACCAACGATCCAAAGAAAACTATAGCAGACAATGCTCAGAATCGCTTTTTTCTTTCAGAGGAAGTGGGACAAGGCAACTGTTCTCTTGTCATCAATGATGCCCAAATAAATGATGGTGGGGAGTACTGCTTCAGAATGGAGAAAGCACCTAAAGCATACTTTAATTTCCCAGATAGATTGAAAGTGACTGTAAAAGGTGAGTGGCGATAAGGACATCTGCCTCCCTGCAAAAGCTTCAAGTGACATACACAAATAAATCCACTCCCATAAGATCAGATCCCCTTCTCACACCATTCCAAGAAAGGTGATGTATAGGCTGTGCTATAAACATAGGCAGAGAGCAAGTGGTAATATGGTCCAAAAAGGTGCAATGGCTGTCCAATTCACAATTAATGGATCCAGCATGCAAAGGTTCCTAATGCTAGCGCAGCTTCTCAGGTGTGTATAGCTTCTAATGTTCATCTCATAGCGTCTTAGATCCATCTCTTGGCCAACGTGATCTTCTGAATAAACCATTCCATGAAATGCAGTGCACAATATTTGTGACACAAACAGAAGCACAGATAGGGGTGTAGGAGGCTGAAACAGGAAACACTGGGATCAATGTGCCATGTTTTATGAGGGGAAAGAGTGTGTGGATTCCAGAACAGAAAAGATGCTTTGGCCTCCGATCATGAGCCCTTCTAGGGAATTCAATCTGCAAAGGAATCAGAGGAGTGTGGAGACTCTTGTGTCATCCTCAAATCAGCATCTCCCCTTTTATCTTTGGCAATGATTTCAATTTTTTTTAGCATCCATCTTATTTATATTTACAGAAAACTGCTAAATAAATGTAGTTTCTGACTGGATGAGAGTTGAAATTTTAATTTTAATTGAAAATTGAAAAAATAGACCATACTATACCAAACCATAAACTATGTATTGATATTAACATTAAAATACAGTAATGAAAAGCAAATTATGACAAGTATTTATTTATCGTGTCAGGAACGAACCCAACCAGTTGTATTGCATTATAAAACAAACAAACAAAACACGAAGTTTGCAAACTTGGCATTCTATTAAATGTCCTTTGACCAGTAGCTGATCACTTGGAGTGCCTCTGATGTTGCTATAAGAAGGTTCTCCATTGTGCATGTAGCAGGGCTCAGTAGGTGGTCTGTGGTTTGCTCTTCTCCACACTCGCATGTCGTGGATTCCACTTTGTAGCCCCATTTCTTGAGGTTGGCTCTGCATCGCGTGGTGACAGAGTGCAGTCTATTCAGTGCCTTCCTAGTCGCCCAGTTTTCTGTGTGCCCAGGAGGAAGTCTTTCATTTGGTATCAGCCATTGATTGAGATTCTGGGTTTTAGCCTGCCACTTTTGGACTCTCGCTTGCTGAGGTGTTCCAGTGATTATCTCTGCAGTCATTGAATTCTTGACAGCAGAAGGTGTCACCCCAAAGGAGATTCATCAGAGAATGCAAGCTGTTTATGGTGATTGTGTTGATGTGAGTACTGTGCATCGCTGGGCGAGTAAGTTTAAAGATGTTGAGGTGGGAACATCTGACTTGCATGACAAAGAGTTGGATGTCCTGTGACAGCAACCACCGAGTTTCACAAGCAAAAGGTTGAGAGATTGATTCAGGACAATCGTCGTGTCACTCAGAGAGACATTTCAGGCATTTCACAGGAATGTGTGGATCACATTATTGCTTTGCTTGGCTACCGGAAGATCTGTGCATGATGGGTACCCAGGATGCTGATGGCTTAAATGAATGCTTGAAATGTGATACGACAATCATCCTGAATCAATCTGTCAATCTTTTGCTTTTGAAACTCAGTGGTTGCTATCACAGGACATCCAACACTTTGTTTGTCACGCAAGTTAGATGTTCCCACCTCAACATCTTTAAGCTTTCTCACCCAACGATGCACAGTACTCACATTAACACAATCACTATAAACAGCTTGCATTCTCTGATTAATCTCCTTTGCAGTCACACCTTCTGCTATAAAGAATTCAATGACTGCACATTGCTTAAGTCGCATTGACCGACCGTCTGTGCAGGATTCCATACTTTGCACTTTAACAACACAACTGTTCAATGCCAAGGCTTCCTGCCAAAATGGAACTGTATAGGAGAGTCTACTGAACAAGCCAGTACCTGCCGCATACCAGTACTGCCATCTGTTGAGGAGTTACAAAGGTGGAGGCATTACTTTTCATTCTAGCCTCGCACAAAGTTGGTGAAATAGCTATATGTTGATAACTGTCTTTTCCTTCCTCCTTAGAGCGGGAATACCCAGTAATAAAGCTTTCTGGGAATCTTCGGGCAAGCCATCCAACAAACATCATTTGTACAGCCCCAGAAAGTTGTTCCTTGAAGTCACCGCACATTCTCTGGGAAATAGTGCCCAGAAATTTCATACTGAATGCCTCTGAATTGCAGTCAAATGGCACCCACATTTACAACGTGTTGGACTTTACACCTTCAGCAGAAGATGACAAGCAGAATCTCACCTGCACAGTCAGCTATGGAACAGGAAGCAGCTCTGTCTCCATGGAGGTGTCTGTTCCTCTGAATGTCAGATGTGAGTGACCCTTTCTTTTCATACCCTACATCTCAGCAGGAGCAATTTAAAGACTTACTATTCATGTTTGCATCTGGTGTTGCTGTAACTGAAATGAATTTTTATTTCAAGGAAATGCTTCATTCTGTGTAAAATAGGATAGACTGTCAATCAACTCAGCACAGGGGAAGCATGTGTATGTCTAAGGGAGAGATTAGGTTTAGACCTCTGATTCTATTACTTTTATGTAATTGAGCCGATATTGGTTAAATAGTGTGTGTATATGTGTGTGTGTGTGTTTGCATTACTTAAATGGTATCTGAATTTGATATTTTGTGATTGTAAGTTGGCTATGTTATAGTCTTGGGTAATCAATCGTATTTGAACTAATTGATGACCCTTGTATGTTTAAAATTATTGTGAGTCATTTTACACTGTGTCCTTTCTCTCTCCATGTTACATAGTTGTGAGTCATATTATTCAAAACATGTTGCCCAAGAAAGGGAACCCTAGATAACTCATTTTAAAAACAAAAAGACAAATCTGTGTATCATCATGCTTAATGATGTTATGGAACTCTGGGCAAAATTCTAGCTGGCACAAAATCAGATATGAGCCATGTTTGTGGTTCCAGCCAAAGTCTATCCATATCCTCAAGATGATGAAATGGAAACAGACTGATGTCTCTTTGACTGCTGCAAAACAAGTCTAATTTCAGTGGCAGTGGCATGAAGCCATCTACCGCAGAGCACTACCATTGAAAAATGAAGTTAAACATGATACCCTCATCAGGGGGTGGACGAGCAGTTAACACCCAGTTGGGGGAAGCATCTTATGGGCCGCGCTTAGCACAGCAGGATAAACCACTGAACTATAGAAAAATCCTGCAGATTGAAAGGTCAGTAGTTCCAGCCCCAGTTGGAGAGAGCACCTGCCTTTAGCCCTAGCTCACCTGCCCAACTAGCAGATCAAAAGCAGAAATATGAGTAGATAAATAGGTACCGCTTTTAGCAAGGATGTAATAAAGGTACACTTAAGGACATTGATCGGAGGAAAGCTCCTTGCATGGGAGATGGAGTGACAGCACAGCCTTTAAGATGCCGGAAATAAAATGGGAAAAACTGCCTTTATCTCTGTTTGTGTTGTCTGTCCTTGTTAATTGTATAACCAGCATTGAATATTTGCCATATGTGTGTTCGGTAATCCGCTCTGAGTCCCCTTCAGGGTGAAAAGGGCAGGGTATAAATACTGTAATTAATTAAATAAATAAATATTAGCATTTGAAGTCTGTATCTGTGTCCATGTTTGTATCTGTTCAGGAATATATGATCCAACAGCTTCAGGGTTATGGAGAAATTACTCTGATTTTTTTTTCAACATAACAACACATGATTCACAAGGTACTGAACCATTCCACCAAATAGATTCAGCACCCTGGAGAACTCCTTTACAATCTTGAATGAAACTGCAAAACTGACAACCTCATGATACTGATGAGCTAGTTGTCCCGTTTCTCGGAAAAGCTGCACACCCACCCTCCTTCCTCTATCACATGGGGGCATCAGGGCAAGACACGTTGGTGCCCTGTCCCTTCCCCCAGCAGACAGGGGAAGATGTGGGAAGCCTCGTTGCCACATTGCCCATCAGATGCGGGAAAGCTCCATCAGATCTACTCGAAACATGATTTCTTACCATGGTGGCAAGGAAGCTAGAATGCAAGAATAATAAAACTTATTTTCTAGACCTCCCTTTCCCCCCAAAGGGTCTCAAGGCACCCCACAGATGGGGTGAGGCCTCAGCCTGCCCAATCTGTTGCCGAAAAGGAGCCCCTGTGTGGTAAAGGGCAATTTAGCTACTGTGTAATGAAGTCCTGATTCTTCTCATCATTGACACTGAAGACTCCTCTGTATGTTATCATGGCAGTTGTGTGTGTGTGTGTGTGTGTGTGTGTATGAGAGAGAGATAGAGAGAAGGCTTAGGATCAGATTCTTCCAATCTCAGCTGAATCCTCACTTGAGGGAAACACTCACATAGAGAGATTGTTCTTGTCTTACAGATCCACCACAAATGGTACAAACTGCTGCAGAAATTAGGGAAGAAAACAAAAGTAAGCTTTCTCTGCTTTTGTGCATTTGAACAGTCTTGAAATTCATTAAAAGAAAGGTGAATTTAAAACTTCGGATTTTTTAAAGTGCAATGGATACCTTTAAAAATAGAGTCAGCCTAAGGCAGTTAATTCAGGATGCAAAGCTTACTGGCAAGAGCAAAAACAATACATTTGCTGTTCCTCTTGAGCCATCTGACCATTCCTTCTGTTGGAGGAGATATGACATGTATTCTAATTGGCTCGTCCCATTCTCCTAAACTGGCTTCTACTGTACTAAGGCCAATGAAGTTGACTTCCAAATATAGATTGGTAAAGGGGATGTCAAGTATTTCTTGTTATTTTTGTTGGTTTTTGTTTGTTACTGTAAAGCTGAGTTCAACTCATAATGACTCCATGAATAAAAAATCTCCAAGTGACCCTAGAGCAGTGGTTCTCAACCTGGGGTCCCCAGATGTTTTTGGCCTACAAATCCCAGCCAGTTTACTAGCTGTTAGGATTTCTGGGAGTTGAAGGCTAAAAACATCTGGGGACCCCAGGTTGAGAACTACTGCCCTAGAGACTTGTTTGCTTGAGTCTGACCAGGAGAGTTGATGGCCAGAAATCTTGTGAGTTTTCCATTCATAGGTTTACCATCAATCAAACTTCCACATATTTTAAACCTATGAAGGAGAAACCTCAGAGATCCCTGGTCATGAATTATCCAGCTCAGGTCTTGCAGACTTAAGGACTGAGGCTTTCTTAATGTGTCCAAAGTACTGTATAGTAGCCTCCGACAAATCATCTTGGCTCCTCAGGCGTGATTTGCTCTAGAACCCTTTCATTTATCTTTTTAGCATGACATGATATTTTTAGAACTTTTGTCCAGCATTGCATTGAAATGGTTTAGTTTTCTTCCGGTGATGCTTTCATATCCATCCATAGAAATTGGAAATATGAAGAGGTGAATGTATCTGTTTTTGTATTTAATTATCCATTACTATAACTACTATATTATCTGGTTCTTCAGCGCTACCTTTGGAAATCTTAGTCCACTGCAGATTTTTTTTAAAAATACAGAAAATCAGCCAACCTTGGGGACAGTACATAGTTTAGGGATCTATGAAGCTAGTTTCCTATCTACATGACTGTCCCTTTGAAATCTTGCAGGTTTCACACTCATCTACGATATTGCTGAAATCGTGGTTAAAAAAGGCAACTTGGTCACTTTGCACTGCTTTGGGGATGGTAATCCATTACCCAGCATGATTTGGCTGAAGAAATCACAATCCTTGGGAAGACTTCACTTCATAACAGATAGGGAATTGAAGATTGCCAATGTGCAGATACCAGATGTGGGCACATATACATGCAAGGTAAACAACAGCGAGGGCGTTGCCTACACAGACTTCCAACTTGCTATACAAGGTGAGCGAAACACAGGATTTTCCCAGATGAATGTTTCTCACATCCATAAAAATTGGTCAGAGATATTCAATCTTGTTATTCAACTTCTCACTAGAAAAAGGTGTTTGCGTGGGAGGGGTTCCAGCATAAAGTCAAAAAGGAGTGTCAGGGTTTGCCTGGAATAATGCTTCCTTCCTTGAGTAAGACAATATTCCTTTACTTTGGTTGTGGTTGCAGTTGTTGTGGAGGTTGTTGTCTTCATTGGGTTGTTGTAGGTTTTTTCGGGCTATATGGCCATGTTCTAGAGGCATTCCCTCCTGACGTTTCGCCTGCATCTATGGCAAGCATCTTCAGAGGTTGTGAGGTCACCTCACAGGCCTCACAACCTCTGAGGATGCTTGCCATAGATGCAGGCGAAATGTCAGGAAAGAATGCCTCTAGAACATGGCCATATAGCCCGAAAAAGCCTACAACAACCCAGTGATTCCGGCCATGAAAGCCTTCAACAATATGTTGTCTTCATTGTTGTTGTATGCCTCAAAGCCATATATGACTCATGGTGACCCTGAGTCTATCCTGAGTTCTCTTGGCAAGATTTGTGCAGAGAGGGTCTTCCAAGGTCACTCAATAGGTTGCCATAACCTTATTCCAATAATACAATTCATTAGCTTAATGTATTGTCGAAGGCTTTCGTGGCTGGAATCACTGGGTTGTTGTAGGTTTTTCGGGCTGTATGGCCATGTTCTAGAAGCAATTCATTGGCTTGGATAAAGTCTAAAACACAACAGGAGGGAAATATTAATTCAAGATTAATAGAATGCTGCTATCCAATTTTTCATTCAATCTTACACTTGAATGTTTATGTCCACCCAACTTCAGAAGAATTTCGCATGCTTTAATTTCTTTGGATCATATTTTTAAAGCATTCTGCCAATTTTCAGGCTTCTTCTTTAGCTTTATATCTACATTCTTTGTCTGCCTATAGGTCTTGTTTACTCATTGTACACTGTTTCAGTTTCGATCCATACATCATGCTCCATGAATCTGGCAGCCCGGTCTCAGATTAAACCGGGACTCTCTTTGCTCTGGGTAAATCATGATGGAGAAATCTCTCACTTTTTCCCATAAAATATTGTCTGTTGGTTCAGACATTCCCAACAAACACCTCTTTGGTTTTTTCCATGATGTTGTAACATAAAATTAATGTTTAAAATAATTCAATATTTTTAATCATTTCAGAAAGTGGGGACCTCAGCTCTTTTGTTCCATTACTGCTAGTCCTTTGCCTAAACAAGTAAGTGGGGTAATCTCTGGTTTCACGATCTGCCTTGTAAACCAGTCTGGCTGAAAAATGGGAGAAAATGACCAACTTTGAGTCTTTTCCTCTAGTACTTGGCTGCTTGTTTTGTTTAAAATTGTCATCATCTCTTTTCAGAGTGCTGCTTTGTTTCTTCTTCTTTTTCGCCATGATTTCCTTTTCCACCCAAAGGAAAGCTCAAGTGAGGAGGGGAGTGACAAAAGATATTAAGAAGATACAACCTGCCATGGCTCCAGAAGAAAAAGAAATGGACAGAAAAGAACAGAAAAGAAATGAACAAAAGTAGTGGAAGCACCGCCAGCATTTGAAAGAATTGTATTCTCTCTACTGCCTCCTTAAAAGGTCCCTATACCAAAAGCTGAGGAATGGGATGGACTTGATTTTTGTTGCTACAAATCTTAGCATTCTTTAAACTTGTTTGTTTCTTTCAAAAAAAATAATAAAAGCACTTGGAAAAATTACATTTATCAGAGAGAAGGTTTCACTGGATTGGAAGTTAGTACTTAAATGTGTGTGGATTTTAATGCATTAAAAACAATTTCACAAAAAAAATTCTTCAAAATGAAAACGAATTATTGCAGAAAGTGGCATGCAGTTAGCCCTCTACTTTCATTGGGGACCCTTCCAGTACCTTTATCCCAGGAGCTTCTGCAGTGAACAGGAGGGTGGACAGATGCTGTTCCCTGTAAACACGGAAGCAATCGCTATAAATGGCAAAAAACGTGCGATTTCCAGATTTGGGGAATATCATGGTTTTGAGCCAAATATGTGCATCTTCGCATGTCTGTATGTCCCTGCACTCGGAAATCACAGGATTTCTTTTTATCTAGGTTTGTTCCTGGGTTTTAGATGTTTGTTCCTGATTGGTCGGTTCATAAAAAGAAGATGCCACTTGAGTAGAATGCAAAAGTTTTGTTTTTGTGCCAGAAACTTTGTGAAATGTCTGGGCAGAACAATGAATGGGACTTTTGCAGTGGTTTGAGTTATCACATATCCGCATCTTGCGTTTTCTAAAAATACTACTGCAATTTCCAATGGAAGTCCTGCAGCAGCCATCTTGGGATCCTCTAAATCTTGCAGCAAAGCATCAAGTCTGGACACCAGAGGCAGAAATGCCGGGACCAACAGGTCTGTATGTGATCCTACTCTGACGTCCAGGAATTTTTTGCCCTGTAAGTGGGTTGTTGTAGATTTTTCGAGCTGTATGGCCATGTTCTAGAAGCATTCTCTCCTGACATTTCACCATCTATGGCAGGCATCCCCAGAGGTTGTGAGGTCTGTTGGAAACTAGGAAATTTGGGTTTATACATCTGTTGGCCTGGCAGTGCCTGGAGCAATCTTTCGTTGAGAGGTGATTAGATGTCCCTGATTGTTTTCCCTCTGTTGTTTTACTGTTGTAATTTTAGAGTTTTTTTTAAATACTGGGAGCCAGATTTTGTTCATTTCATGGTTTTCTCTTTTCTGTTGAAATTGTCCACATGCTTATGGATTTTAATGGCTTCTCTGTGTAGTCTGACATGGTGGTTGTTAGAGTGGTCCAGCATTTCTGTGTTCACTTGCTCCGGGCACTGTCAGGTCGGTATATGCTAATCAAGGTGGTCAGTTGAAACATTCACACCTAGCTCCAGCAGACAAGAGTCCTTTGTCCCACCCTGGTCATTCCACAGATATATAAACCCTTTTTTCTAGTTCCAACAGACCTCACTACCTCTGAGGATGCTTGCCATAGATGCAGGCGAAACGTCAGGAGAGAATGCCTCTAGACCATGGCCATATAGCCCGAAAAAAACCTACAACAACCCATTTTTTGCCCTGTTTAAAACCTGTGATTTAGTAAAAGGCGAACGATTTATACGATCTGAAAAGAAACCAGAGTTAGCATGACGCAGAGAAGGAGATTCGGGAGTCAACAACAACCCCCCCCCCCCTCAACTTTCCAACCCTGAACCCATTCCCACTGACCCATTGTTATTCCTGCATGTCCCCCAATCTTTCCAGCTAGATATTTCCCTTAATTTCCCCCCTCCCACCAGATCCTCAGTTTTTATTCGCTGGACCCTACCCTTTTACCCCAAGACACACCTCCCCCAAGTTTTTATTATTGTAAACACTGAAATGCATTCAATAAAAAAATATTTTAAAAAACCCTGTGATTTAGTGCTGTCTGGAAGTTGGGGATACAGGATAAAAGTGGGGAAATCATGAATACTGCACCCCCCACATGCACACACTATTTCTTTTCTTTTCCTGAGGGAGAGAAGACATCTTTAATGATGCCCAAAAATACCATAAAACATTTAAAAACTTTAACACAGGGGTCCTCAAACTTTTTAAACAGAGGGCCAGGTCACAGTCCCTAAAACTGTTGGAGGGCTGGATTATAATTTGAAAATAACATGAATGAATTCCTATGCACACTGCACATATCTTATTTGTAGTGCAAAAAACTTTAAAACAATACAATAATTAAATGAAGAACAATTTTAACAAATATAAACTTATTAGTATTTCAATGGGAAGTGTGGGCCTGCTTTTGGCTGATGAGATAGGATTGTTGTTGTTGTGTCATTTCAGACTTAGGTTGACCCTGAGCAAGGGCCAGGTAATTAACCTTGGAGGGCCATATTCGGCCCTCGGGCTTTAGTTTGAGGACCCCTGATCTACACTATAGAATGAATGCAGTTTGACACTATTCTAACCCCCATGACCCAATGCAATGAAATCCTTTGGTAAAATTCCAACTCCCATGAGTTATGGGAGTCATGGCTGTTAAAGTGATGTCCAACTTATTTCATTCTCACAGATATATAAACCCAATTTTCCTAGTTTCCAACAGACCTCACAACCTCTGAGGATGCCTGCCACAGATGCAGGGAAAACGTCAGGAGAGAATGCTTCTAGAACATGGCCATACAGCATGAAAAACCTACAACAACCCTCTGAACAGTGTTAGAAAATTTTGTATCCATTAATTACACGTATAACCTTTGATTCAATGGGCTCAAAGAAGCATGCCTTCTCACAGTTTCATACACATAACATTCTTGTGGGGGAGTTCAAATAGAAAGTATTCTACCTGAAAGTCATTCAGTGAGTTTCAAGGCTCACAAGAAACTAAAAGTGACATTATTCCCAGTTCTTTCAAAGACTGGGGCCACCATTCTGAAACAAAAAGTAGTACGTTTCATAATGATTAGCTTATCAGCCATATCAAAACACTTGGCAAACACATTTAACACATACACATTAGGCTTGGGCGATCCAGTTCATTAATTTCGTTATTCGTTATTAATTCATATTTAAATTAGCTTACGATCCAATATTGAGCCATGCAGGAATAGTGTGAGGAGTAATTAAGAATCGAAACAATTTTTCCAATTTTTAATTATTTCATAATTATTTTTGTATGTCTGGTGCAAGTTTTACAATCTCGCATTTACCCCACTTCCGGTCCCTTTGCTCTGCTGCTTCCCTCCTCTTTCCTCATGCTTCTTCTTGCCTCACTCTGGGCTGCACTGAGCTTCCTTCTCTACCTTTCCTTCCTTCCTTCCTTCCTTCCTTCCTTCCTTCCTTCCTTCCTTTCTTCCTTCCTTCCTTCCTTCAGTGTGTGCCATGTGTTACCTCCTCCCCTCCTCTTTGCCTTCTTCCCTTCCTTCCTTCTTTCTGTGTTTGTTGCTCCGAAGAGCACACGTCTGAACTCCCGTATCATTATTTTTTCACCTGCCCCACTCTAATGCCCCCACAGATGCGTTGACCAGTCACAGCTAGCTACTCATCAACTATAATAGATAATATATGTATTATAATATAATATAATTAATAATAATATAATATAAATTATAATATATATAATAATAACTATTATAATTATATATTTATATTACATTAATTATTATAATACTATTATATATAGTATTGTATATTATATTATTATATTATATATTATTACTATATTATTATTATATTATATTATAATTGTATATTATAATATTATATTATAATATATTATAATATAATATAATATAATATAATATAATATAATATAATATATAATAATATATAATATATAATATAGTTGTTTGTTTTATCACACCAACAGTCAACAACAGAGGGAGAGGGAAGCTTCAGAAGTTCCCCCTGTCCCATTTGGAGGTTTTTTTAGCATATTGCGCAATCGCGTCCGCCATTAACGAATCGAATCAAGGAACATAAAAGGCACTGCAGACTACTTCAGCCAGAGAAGTCAGCCATAGCAGAGCACCTGATGAACCAACTTGGACATAGCATATTATTTGAGAACACAGAAATGCTGGACCACTCTAACAACCACCATGTCAGACTACACAGAGAAGCATGTGGACAATTTTAACAGAAAGGAAGAAACCATGAAAATGAACAAACTCTGGCTACCAGTATTAAAAAAAACTCTAAAATCATAACAGTAAATAAAGAACAATACTCAAAAACAGGGGAATTCCAGACAAGAATCAATCAGGGCCAGCTAACACCTCCCAACAAAGGATTCCCCCAGGGAGTAAGAAGCCAGACCTTGAAACTGCTAGGCCCTTATATGCTAATCAAGGTGGCCAATTGCAACAACCACACCTACCTCAAACAGACAAGAGTTACTTCTCCCACCCTGGACATTACACAGATATATAAACCCCTTTTCCTAGTTTCCAACAGACCTCACAAGGATGCCTTCCATAGATGCTTCTGGAACATGGCCATGCAGCCTGGAAAACTCACAAAAACCCAGTGATTTTGACCATGAAAGTCTTCAACAATACATTGGTCTTATACTGTTGCTGTGGAGAAATTTCAGATGATACCTTTTTGGGGTTTTTTTAAAGGAGATTAGAAACTTTAAGAATTTCCTAAAAAATAGTGGATGGCCCAAACATTCAGAAACTTGGGGTGCTGGGGCTTGCAGTGGTAAATGTGCCATCCAAGTATGCCCTTTTTTGGTCCCAATCATCCTAAAAATAATGAAAAGGAGAACCTCAGAAGTTCCCCCATTGCCGCCAGTGGGCCGAATCTTCCCTGAGTTGAAACAGAACTTCTGTCTGACGTATCTGAGAGGTCGTATTTCCCCCCTTCCAATTTTGGGAGTTTCCCAAAAAATGGAACATCTCCCCCGCACCTGAAAAACAGGACCAAAAAATGGAATGGATTTTTGACGATTCACACATCCCTAGTTGTTACACAGTGGTGTACCTCTGTATATCATTGTAAACTTTTATTTTTGCTGAAGTAAGCTTTGAACATGTTTTACATGACTACATAAAACACAATTATACCAAGAAGAAAATGAATGTCCAACTGTTCTTAGAGCAATAAACTCCCCAAAAGCAGATAGAAAATGGTGTGAACTTCCATTATTATTATTATTATTATTATTATTATTATTATTATTATTATTATTATTAATCTTTATTTATACCCCGCCACTATCTCCACAAAGGGGACTCGGGGTGGCTTACTTGAGGCCAAGCCCAATAATACAATTACAATAAAATGAATACAAAACAGCAAAAATAACAACGCGATAAAATAAGGCAATAACATAAGTGAACATAAGAACATAACAGAGCAGTGCAAGGCTACTTCTTGGCAAAGCCATGTTTTGAGTTCCCTTGAGCTCCAAACTGATGTTGCTGTTGGTCGTCTCCAGCTGCCATGTTTGCATGGTCAACAAATAAGAAAGGAACATCTGCAAAATCTCTCTGAAGCAGAGTGACAATGGATGTCTTGAAGACCTGTTGGAATTTCTGTCCAACGAAAAGATAAAGACTGGAGGTGAAACAGAAATTGAAACACAGGCCAGCCCTCATAACTACACTTAGAAAAAGATGTATTCCATCAGGAAGTTCGCCCAACAGCCGAGAAGCATAGTAGAGATGGTATGGAAGCCAACAGATGAAAAACGATAGCACTGATGTGATGAGGATTTTAAATGTTTTCCTATATTTCCCCACTAATCTTCTTTTCTTAATTTCTTGTCCAATCTTATAGTAACATCCTGCTATAATTAAGAAAGGAAGCAGGAAGGCCAATAGGAATCGTATGACAAAGAGAACCAACCGAATGCGATATGCCAGCGCATCTCTTTCTGTTTTTTCTGCATCAAGAAAAAATGTGTAATTATTTTCACATATGATCCTTCCATTTGTTCCCTCATGAGTCTCCCGAAAAATCAGGTATGGGACACTGAAGACTAAAGAAACAAGCCATGTTCCTGCAATGATTCGTTGGGCCCTGGATATTGTGCGGTTGTGCTGGGACCAAATGGGATGGCATATCGTGAAGTAGCGATCCAGGCTTATGATGGTGAGGATAAATACCTCAAAAAATATTCCTAGTGAACCGAGAGCATTGAGAACTTTGCACAGAACCTTACCAAAGATCCAGTGAAATCCAAGGAGGCCGTGCACAGCAAAAAAGGGCATGATGGAACTGACTATTAAGAAGATGAGAAGTAGGTGACGAAACCAGAGGATATTCACTGTGCTCTTCATCCTCACCACCAGCACCCAGAGAAACAGTCCATTTATGGTTGTGCCAACTAGGAAAGATACCAACAAAAAGACAGTAATGATAACATTGGTGGGGTTTATGGCAATTGGAGAGTAAGTGGTGTTCATTCCCATCTCTGAAATGTTTGCCACAAAGACATCTATGCTCTCATTGCCCTGGAAGAAAATGGAAAGAAACAAAATGGTAACAAGTGAAATGACAAGAGGAAAAAATAGAAGCAATTACTAGGGCTGTGCAAAATTATGTTTGAAGTTCACTGGTTTTAATTCACTGTTATATGCTCTTTTAATAAAAAAAAATCCGTGCCAGGAGCAACTTGAGACACAAGTCGCTTCTGGTTTGTGTCTGAGAGAATTGGCTGTCTACAAAGATGTTGCCCAGGGGACGCCCGGATGTTTTGATCTTTTACCATCCTTGTGCGAGGCTTCTCTCATGTCCCCACATGGAGAGCTGGAGCTGATAGAGGGAGCTCATCCACACTTTCCCTGGGTTCGAACCTCTGACCTGTTGGTTTTCAGTCCTGCCGACACAAGGGTTTGCCCATTGCACCAACTGGGAGCTCCGTTTTAGTGATGTGGTGTATTTTAGTGATGTGATGTATTTTATATTTTGTGAGGCATCAAATTTTGCCAGTTACTTGTTGTGAACCGCTTGAGTCCTTGGGGGTTGCAGAAAGTGGTATATAAATGAAATAAATAAACACATACATACATAATTATTGTTAGTCCTTGTAAATCAGATCAAATTTGTTAAATTCATACTTATGGCGGGATATTGGACACATGGGCATGACCCATGCCAAAAACTTAAGAATTGGAACTTATCCAATATTTTTTATTAGAATTTTGAAAATATTGGAAGCCTCCCAAAGTCAGCTTCATTATCGGTGAAAGCAAGCAAAGCAAAGTCAATAAGGCTACCATTTGTCTTTAAATTAATGGCCTTTCTCCATTAGGAGAGGGAAAGCAGCAGGGAGAAAGCAGAGTTTGTTGAGAAAGAGACTGAGAAAACACAGATTTCTGAGAAATTTAGTTTGGGAAGATGAGGAGCCCTAGGCTCAAGAATTCAAAAGGCCCTGCCCTAAACTACATTTCCCAGAATTCTGCTCAGCATCAGAAAGACCCAATCAGAGAGAGAGAGTTTTGTCCCTCCTTAGCAACAGCCAGCCATAGTTCCAATAAATTGTTGAATCTGCAAAGAGGAGGACTGACTGATACTTCTAGTAAATACATCTCTGTATATTAGGAAAGAAATTCCTAAATGAAAGTTATATTGGATAAGATGAGAGGCATTCAATAAGATAGCTTTTGTGGCTTTCTTTTCTTTTTCTTTTACAAAAAATGGTCAAAACTTTTTTAAAAATCCCTAAAATCAGTAGAGGTATGAATATTTCTGAAATTTGGGGGGAATGATTCCTTGTTATCTTGCATCATTGCACAGAAAACTGAAGGAAATAACTCTTGTAGTTTTTTTAAATGTTTATAAAAAATTTGAAAATTCCTCAAAAGTCCATGGATAAGTGAAAAATTCTGAAACTTGATAGACTAACAATAGTAAATGTGTTCTCCCATCATAACAAGTTTCACCGTAATAGCTGTACAAATGAGGGAGAAAGGAGCCCCTGAATTTTTCCCAATTGAACAATTACTATAACGAAAAGTAACAAAATTTCATTATTATAGTAACAAAATGTTAACTAAAAATACTTTAGAAACACTTTAGAAACAAAACATCAACACCTCCTAACTTTACAATGTGTTTTTAAACTTTTTTTCATCAATCACACAGCCCTAGGTTACTGCCTGAGCGGGGGAAATGTAATTATGGGAATGGGGAAAAGTGGCATTCTAGGTGATATCTGAACTTTGTGGAGAGAGGCCTAAAGATAATTGCTAGCCCCAACCACTGTAGAATTAAATTCTGGTTGGTAACAATATGTAGACTCCAGCCAGTGTCCTAGACTTGACAACTGCCCGTCTATTTAGAGCAAGCTTCAGCACCTGGATAGCTTTCATAGCACTTGGATGCTCTGCTTACAGCTGGGAGACTCTGAAGAAAGCCATAGTTAAAAATCAAATACACGGCAGCATCAGAGCGGGTAGAAACATATTATATGCACACATACAAGCACAACAAAACAGCCAAGTAGACAGGTCTAAAATAAGTGGGGAAATTCAGAAATCACTGACTGCACAACACCTTCAAAAGATGCTTCCCAAGTTTTGACTTAACATTTATTTATTTATTTATTTATTTATTTATTTAAAACATTTATATTCCGCCCTTCTCACCCCGAAGGGGACTCAGGGTGAAGCACAGCATATACACGGCAAACATTCAATGCCAGGACACAAATTCACATACAATACATAAACATTAAAAACAGTTATCAAAATATTAAAATACACCATTTAAAACCGTCCTAGTCATCCGCATCAGATCAATTGGCCCGGTCATCTTTCCTATTGCCACTTTATTGCCCTGTCCCGAAAGCTTGGTCCCACAGCCAAGTTTTACCATCCTTCTAAAGGACAGGAGGGAGGGGGCCAACCTGATCTCACCAGGAAGGGAGTTCCATACAGGGAGCAATCACCGAGAAGGCCCTGTTTCTCATCCCCACCCATTGTGCCTGTGACAATGGCGGGACGGAAAGCAGGGCCTCCCCAGAGGATCTTAATCTCCGTGATGGTTCATAGGGGGAGATGCGTTCAGACAGGTAATTTGGGCTAAGGCCGTTTAGGATTTATAGGCCAAAGCCAGCACTTTGAATTGTGCCCGGTAGCAAACTGACAGCCAGTGGAGCTGGCATAACATGGGAGTTGTATGCTCCCTGTATGCCACCTCGGTTATTAACCTGGCTGCCTCTTGTTGGACTATTTGAAGCTTCCGAGAAGTCTTCAAAGGCAACCCCACATAGAATGCATTGCAGTAGTCTGTCCTAGATGTAACGAGAGCCTGGACCACCGTGGCTAAGTCTGACTTCCCAAGGTACATCTGCAATAGAAATATATAGAAGTCTATTTCAACCTCTACCAGCTCCAAACCATTTCCGTTCCCACTTGCACTTTCTGGATAATAACTGCTTCCCGTGTAATTATGGTTATTATATCCCAAAGATGGATGGATATGGAAAATAAATTTGAGGCAGAAGCAAATAATGGGAAGGAAAGGGGGCTAGGAAAACCCAGAAAAAAATAAATAGAATCACTTTTCCTTTGAGAGATGGAAACCAAGACTGATGAACTCTATTGCCAATAACACCTCACACTATTTAAACACTGATCCTTACCCCTGCCTTTTGACCACCTCAATATCTTATGCTGCATATCTATGAATATCTATAAATATAATCTCAGAAAGGTTTAAACAACAGGAATGATACATTCCCACTCCTCTTCAGACAAGCCCCACTCACATAATTGCCTTGATCGAGTGATCTGGAAATGGTAGCTCTCATCCTTTTCTGCCTTGCAATTCAGCCAGCGAGAAAGGAAAAAAGCATCTGTGAGATTGTGAAAAAGTTTAGTGGAAAATGAAAAATATTGTCATGGTGCAAATTACTTACCCATGAAAACCACTTCCTGATTTACAACTATGTGGAATTGTGGTTATGTTTTTGCATTTCCCAAATTGATCTTTACTATTCTCAGCAAAACGCCTGCGCTAACATCTCAAGAGTCTTGGTTGATGTGTACAGGAGATAATTTTGCTCTTGCATGCACTTGCTAATGATATTCTCTCCCAAGTGAAGTCAGGCTGGCTTCATCATAAATGCACCTCTGACTGATGGCCAAAACCCTTATCAGTTCCTATGTTCTTTTGGTTTTATAAGTGGCCTTTAAATAGTTTTAAATTTGTTTGGGAAAATGTCTTTAGCTGATTTTAGGATGTCTATTTGGGAGACATGGTGATTTTTTTTTTTCATATCAGAAGCAACTTGAGAAACTGCAAGTCGCTTCTAGTCAGGAGCAACTTGAGAAACTGCAAGTGTGAGGGAATTAGCCATCTCCAAGGATATTGGGGATGCCCGAATGTTTTGCCATCATGTCCCCACATGAGAAGCTGGAGCTGACAGACAGGAGCTCACCCAACTCCCTGGATTTGAAGTGCTGACCTTTCGGTCAGTGGTCCTGCCAGTGCAAGGGTTTAACCAATAGTGCTACCAGGGGCTCCACCATAGTGATAAAGGAGCCCAATAAAAATAAACCTTGTTGTCTTGGTTTTTAGGCATGTTCCTGGGGTTCTTATTCAGAAAATTGCATTGGATAGACCACATTGGCTCTAATTTCTTAGATAAGGTTATCATGATTTTCTATGAGAGAGCAGATAGCGACTGGTAGATGGCATACATTCTGTATCTCAAAAACTAAAGCTGAAAGGGAGAACTGGTGCCATTTTTGGAATCAGGGTCAGTTATGCCAATAAACAAGGATAACATTTGAGGCACCAAAATGTATATTGGCCAGAGTAATCAATTAACAAATGCTTGTAATAGCAGTACCCAATTAATAATAATGACCAGTATTCTACATTGACTACTTAGTTAAACACACTCTGTTAAGTAACTTTCCCTGGCCTGAACACTCCCCAAACCTGAAAGAAATATCATTCACCCATTCTTGATCTGCATCTTCTCC